GCCTTCCAACCCTCAAGCAGATCAACACTCCCACTCAACCTGGTGTTGTCTGCAAACCTACTGAGGGTGCACTCAATTCTCTTGTCCAGATCATTGATAGAGATATTAAAGAGAACTGGCCCCAGTACTGAGCCCTGGGGAACACCAGTTGTGACCAGCCACCAACCAGATATAACTCCATTCACCACAACTCTGGGCCCAGCCAACCAGCCAGTTTTTTTTACCCAGCAAAGAGTACGCCCATTCAAGCTGTCAGCAGCCAGTTTCTCCAGGAGAATGATGTAACTTCTTTTCCTAAAACAGGGCTGCAATCAGTTGCAAGACATTCTTCTCCCAATCAGCAGCTCTATGGACTTTTTTGTGGTTTCAATGCACCTATTAAGAGCAGTTTACTCAGCTGAGAGCAGCCACATTTGAAGTGCAGCTCAAAGGGCAGCAATCAGGAAGCACATGGATATTCCTGAAGTCAGCAATGGAAGGAATTACTACCTTTGCCCTTCTCTTCCAAAGGGATCTCAAACATGTCAGGTCAGAGATAATCTCATAAGGTTGCCTTTTACACTGTTGGAACATTTTCCAAAGCACCCTACAAAGCTGCCTGTGTCAAATCAAAGCTCTCACACCCAAACCACTGGCACAAGTGCACTGAAGTACAATCATTTCAAGTCTAACAAAGCAGACATAAGAGCTGCAATGTCATGGGACGTACCTGAACAATGCCCAGAGTAGCAGATGTGACAGGATCAGAGAAGTCACCACCTGGGGGAGAAACGCTGAGCAAGAAGAGATAAGAGAAAGTTATCAGAACTGCTTCCACAGTTTAAACTGAAGTACCGAACATAGGACTGCACAGCTCCATGATCAAAGAAACCAGAAAAGTCAACACAATTTCAAGTAGCTAACAGATTGCAAGCTTCAACAGCAGAAAGTGATGCATACCCGCACAGGTGTAATATCAAGCATACCACAAAATACAGGTATATCAGTGACTAACTGACAGCATGAAGGTATGATTTCAGTCACTTTAGCTCCAGGTAGTAACTCCAGTTTGGATGATCAAACCTAACTCAACTGGAACAGATTCAGCAAGTGCACTGCTAGGACACTGTGAAAGACACTGCAATGATTATTTTACAGAAAACAAATATTGCAAATTGAAATTATTGCAGATATTCACCTATAAAATAACCACTTTAACTTCATTTGGGCTTCACACTCTAATACATGCCTTCTCAGAGATTAAAAAAAATAAAAATCTTCCAACCACAAAAGCACAATGCATTTGTGTATGTATGTTGTGGACAGCAGAACTAAGCAGAGCAGAGAATGGACTCTAGGTGTTCTTGCAGATGCTAAATGTTCTCCTGAAAACATCATGGGGGGGGGAAATTCACTTTTCCCACAGTATGATATACAAATCAATATAGCCTAGAAGAATGTCTAGGGACCACATGCTTTTCAGAGCGCATCACAGCTTGAGATATGCTGCTCCATGTAACTCTATCTAAGCAAGAGAATCATGATTCATTACGCCTCCAAGTGCACACACTGCTGCTCTAACTGCTCCTTCTTTCTTGCTATGAGCATGGTTTCACATAGTTTTCAGTGACAGCTCTAACATTCTTCCCTGAGCTATTTGCTCTGCTGCAAGTGACTGCAATTCCACATCTCACAGAGCTATCTGTCCACATTCATTCTTTCTGCCCCCACACACAATTTAGCAGTAGTTCTGTGTGAACAGAGACTAAATATCTACCTACTCGTTCACATATTTTTAGTTTTGCAGCTGCAGAGAGCAACAAGACCTTTTTGTCTGAAAAATAGTGTTCTGACATACGAAAACATAGAGGAAGAGCTGCAGCCAACAAAGCAAAGAGATGCAACACTCACGCTCCAACAATGCTGACGCTGCCTTCCCTTTCAGGATTTCCCAGACACTTCACTCTGCCAGCTCGCTCATAGAAAGAAGCTAGACGGGCACCAAGGTAGGCTGGATAACCACTGTCTGCAAACACCAACACACAGAAATTGAGTCAAAGACTCAGAGTTTAAAGGATGCATTTACAAGACTAGACTGAGAAAAAGGCTACTTACCAGCTGGCATTTCAGCCAGTCGCCCTGAAATTTCTCTGAGGGCCTCAGCCCATCGGGAAGTAGAGTCTGCCATCATACTGACATGGTAGCCCATGTCCCGGAAATACTCAGACAGGGTGATTCCTAGAACAGAGACAACAGTGTGCTGCAGGATACAGTTCAGAAAGGAATTCTATGCCTATATGTTGTCACTAAGATGCAAATAAACCACATTATTTAAGGTTACATTTTGATGGAAATAGACACTGAAAGTTATTCTTTCTCCCCACTAGATCATGTCCTTGCTGTCTTTTTTTGTTTATTTCTTCTCATTCTCCCCATTTTTGCTTATGAACCACTCTGGCTCATCTTACATTCCCTTGTATTTCTTTAAAGAGGCACGGCAATGTCACTGATGCTACTCTTTGCCTCAGTGAAACCATGAACAAAGCCACTTCTTACTGTAAAAAGTCTCCTCTTTCAAACTGACAGAATGTAACAGTGAGAAAAGGTCACGTTTTATCTTAATTATCTGACGTTTTGTAAAAAAACCTCTAAGAGGCTGCAAAGGAGAGAAGACTAGCCTGCCAACTCAGAGAGTACTATTCCTGCCCATTAAGTTGCTGTACTTGTCAGCAAAAAACTATTCACAAACAAAAGCTGACATAATTAACACATGGAGAAAAACTACACGAGAGCTGGTGTAGTAAGTTCACCTTGTAAGCAAAATTTATTCAACATTCAGAAGCTGTAATTATATAGAAGCAAGCCAAATTCAATTAAGATACTAGGACTTCATGCAGGCAAGGTCCGAAAGGGTTGACTTCTGAAACTAAGCAGGTTTCTTGGTACTGATCATTTCAGGAACTGAAAATACTGGAGCATGATGGCTTGCTCAACACACACAGCTTTTTCCAGCCTCCTGTAAATCTTACCAGTATAGATAGAGGCTTCTCTGGCAGCCACAGGCATGTTGGAGGTATTTGCTACCAGAGCTGTTCTCTTCATGATGCTTTCTACCTTGCCATCAATTTCCATTGTTAACTAAAATGCAAGAAAAGAAGGGGGAAAAAAAAAAAGTAACTAGCAAGTTTTTTTTATTTTTTGTTGTTTGTTTCTTTACTGTATTACTCGCCTTGTATTAGGATACTCTCACAGCTACTATACCAAGAGCAGAGGGTAGATTCAAGATTTCAGGATACTATGGTGGTTTGCCTTCCAGATTGCACACAGCTTAACTCTTTGAGGTACGTGCCTCAGTCTCATCTAGTCTTCTGCAACTGGCAGATCCCTGTTGATCCCATTCAAATGGGTAATGACAAATCCACAGCATCAGGAAGTACATTATCCTCTCTCAGCTTACTAGGCTGGAAGAGCCAAAAAATCTTAGCCTCCTGTCATAAATTCATTAGGAATCAGAGAGGTTCCCCCCTCCCCCATCTACACCGATTCAAGTTTATCTTTGACAACTGGACATAAAACCACATACGTAACCCTGGTGAAGCCTCACAAGCACCTGAAGAACAGAATGCACATTCTGACATTTGTGTAGAATTCCACTTACGAATACCCTGGGATTTACCTTTTTCATGGCCATCTCAGCTTGACTTTCTCATCTTGTGATCAATCAACACACCCAAACCTTTCACCCCTTATTTCTGACAGTGGAGTTCCAATGTAACAGGTCAGACTATCTGGCTTCTTTCCCGTATTTTACAGAAGATTGTGCCACAACTAATTCACTAACATATAACACCAGGTAGAAGGATTGGTAAACTTGTCTTTTTTTTTTTTTTTAAAACCAGGCATTTTCCACTTCCTTCAGAAGGTATTCCAAAGTCTAACATGTCAAACTAATATCTGGTATCTGTTTGTATCACCATCCCGTATCCTACAAATAGAGATACTGCATTTGCTATGTATGGTTAAGTTAGAAAAGTTAGAGATGTTATCAGTGAAAGGTAAAGTGCTTATTACTGTGCTAAATTACACTCTGGCATTCATTTTTGCTTTATTTTAAACAAGTTTGAAGGTATACCCAAAACCTAGTCCAGATGTTTATAGGGGGGCCACTGAAATCATTCCTGAATGAGCCAAAAGGGATTTCTGCTACTACAGCCAGAACTTACAGCAGAGAAGCAAGAAGATCATTTCAAGTCACTCTACCAATGTGATATTTTATTCAGTTACAATACCAATACAATAGCAAGTCTTCCCAAGAATCTTTACTCTCCATGAATTCCCCACACTAACCTCAGGAAAATCTCTCAGTACTTCAGACATTTCATTTCCTCGTTCTCCACAGCCTACATAAATGATGACATCACTGTTGGAGTATTTTGAGAGAGACTGCGAGATCACAGTCTTCCCACAACCAAATGCCCCGGGAATCGCTGTTGTACCCCCTTGTACACACCTGAGTAAAGAAAAAGGACTTTGATTTGCAAGGAACTCAAAAAAACAGCTCTCTCCCATCTTAGAATATGCTTTCCGATAAAACTCCCTAATTAAAAGCAGAGCAACAGGAGTCATATTCAGTGTTCTGGGCGAGAAGCAGAGAGGTATTTCACTAAACTAAAAGACTGAGGGTATAAACCATTCTTTTCTTCTACTGCCCTTGAAGTACATGAGTTATGCTGGTACAACAGCTAGACTTTCAGGCTTGAAACACAGCAATCTTCGCAGCTGGAAGCACCGATGGAATGCAAATGCTTAGAAAAGAACAACTGTACTTAGCTATGCATTATAAGAACAAGCAGTAGAAAATTTTAGGATCAAAATTACTGAATTCGGTGTCTTAGAAGTTAACTCCTTAAATGAGCATTTTGTGCTACAGTTAAGCACAAGAGTTTTCATAAGTGGTGACCCCAAAATCATGGGGAACTATACCCCTCAAGACTGGAAAGAGATCCTTCTTATGTGTTCAAATGGAGATATCAAGTGGGAAAATTCTAGCCTTTCTGTAGATTTGGCATGATTATGTTAAGTTTATGCTTGTCCATTCTTTTCTAGATTAATGCACTAGAACTATCTTGCTAAATTTATCTTCCTTTTTCCGCTATAGATTTTCCTGCCAAGTATAGAAATATGAAGAATTCAGGGAAATATTTTTTGAGATTATGCTGTGATACATAGTGAAAGCTTGGGGTCTCTGTTTGCCCTTACAAAAAAAAAAAAAATTAAGCCTCCTCCCTCCACTCCCCACCCCCCCACACCCAAAAGAGAGATTTCTTACATACTAGAAAATAAAAGGTAGTACTTACGGGAAGAGGGCATCCAGGACACGTTGGCCAGTTAATAAAGGATGATTGGCCGGTAACTTCTCAGTAACAGGACGGACTTGACGTACAGGCCAGACCTGAACCATCGTGAACTTCTCTTTCACACCTTCAAACTCCAGCTCCAAGACAACATCCTAACAGACAGCACCAGACATCTGAAGTAAGCAAACAGCTGCACACTGGACCAGCACACAAATTCTCATCTCAACTACTCTGCGCAGCTAGGTCTTTGATACTACCACAGATTTCTCAGAACCTCAACATTCTATCATCCCGTCTTGAGGGAAGGCTCTTTCCCATTTTTACAATACTACTGGGGAACAAAATGCAAGATGAAGCTGCAACTAAAACCATGCTTTTGGAGAGCAACTGAATTTTACATATTTGTAAGATACTGTAGATCCCCACAGACATCAGCAAACATGGCATACTGAAATGCCATTGGGAAGCCATAGACATAGAAAGTAACTGCACAAGATAATCGTGTAATCCCTGCAGGCAGGGTAGCAGAAGTCATCATTAACTCACACAAACTGTTGTTGCAAGAAAAACTTTTTAGGTAGCATCATGCAGAACAGAAAGACTACATCAACCTCGTGAAAGAGATGTGGAGTATAACAGCAACTGCTGTTTGTGAGACTTACTGAAGTGTCATAATTTCCTGGTGAAGCGATGTATGTAACTGTACCCCTGTTCCGTGGGGGCAGCATGATTTTGTGTTTGATAAGAGAGTTTTCATTCACTACACCATAAATATCTCCACCAGTGATGTGGCTCCCAACCTAAAATCAGAACAGGTCTATTAGTCATAAGTGAGAACTCCACTCTTAAAGAGCCTTGACAAAGAACAGTGTAAAATAACTATAGCTATTAAGTCTAGCACTGTGATAATTCCCTTTATAAATGTATTGTTACAGCACAGCAGCCCATTTACATAACTCATTACGCTAACAGCACATCACTAGCAACACTATCTGGGTTCAGGTGCTTTTCATGGCACAGACAGTAGCAATTACTGACTGATGCAAGGAATTTTCCTCATTTCTTTTATACCTCTCACTTTAGCATGTTAAGTAGGAAAGGATAGCATACGTTAATCTGCAGGGCTGGAAAAAAGATGACGCTAAGGACTAAAGCAGTGACATTTTCCAGCTCTGAGGCTACCTTCACCATTTGCAAAATGTGTGCTGCAGTTATTCTTTCTGCTTGGGTAACACCCGTTCCTGCTAATGCTTAGTGCAATTCCACTAAATTCTTTACAGCTTTGTAAATACAGTAAAACTTTGCAAGTTTCTCACACGCAGCAGCAACACACAGTAAGTTAGATCGAGTAAGTTTTGGTGATCCCCATCCAGTCTCATACATCACTACTGCTTCCTAGCACCCCTTTTCACAAACTTAATACAGCGTTAACCATAGCTCCCAGCAGTCATAGCCTTGGCACTCTGCTCTGGCTCCAAGCTCTCAGGGTAGAGGAGCAAGAGGGGAAGACAGGCTTGTCAGAACCTACCCGCAGGTTTTTGGAAGGTGTGAAGTCCCATTTGACATCTCGGCTCAAAGCTGACACATTGACACCTCTAGGAATATAGATACTTTTGGTCAGGGTGCTGATGTCCGAGAGAGGCCTCTGGATACCATCAAAAATAGCTCCCATAATGCCAGGCCCTAGTTCTACTGACAGGGGTTTGCCAGTACGGAGTACAGGATCTCCTACAGAGACACCAGCTGAAGATTTGCTGAGGAAAAGTTCATCCAGAGAAAGGGAAAGAAACAGGGCAGAAGGCATCACATTCACAACATCATAGTCTTAAACCACCTTTCTGACTTTAAGGTAATATTTTTATTAGTATATTACACATCATCATTTGAGAAGCATGCAGACTATACTAAACTCAAGCTAAAACTGCTAAAGCAACAAAGTTGCTCATCCTACAGAAACAGGAAGTAGGGGTAAATATTCTGCTTTATGATCATTAGTTCAAGTCAACTATATGGATGAATTTACAGGAGTGCCAGGCAGCAGGATGACAAAATGTCAGGCATTTCTCAGTCTTCAAACCCAGAAAACAGGTTTGATTGTTAAAGTCATATGATGCTATGAAATATGTAATTTTTCACTTCAGAATTTGTTAGAGCACAACTGTTTTGACCTTGAGCCTTGCCCAGCCTTTTTGACAGCAGTCTAGTTTTAAAAGGAGTTTGGCTAAGACCAGCATTATTTCCCTCCTCTCTGATATCAAGTTGTCCAGTCTATGCACTACCTAAGCTCCAAAGATGCACAACAGACTTTTTGGCAAGAGGCCCTGCTAGAACACAACAGACCCCCAAAACCCTATCCAAACTCAAGAGATTAAATGCAAGTTGACTTCTGAGAGCCCTATGACAGAGTCCTGTTATCAGGTACCTAAGAGTAAACTATACTCAAATGTGTTCCATGTACAGATGGAAGGCTACTAGGTATCACAATGATGATGCCATCTAAAATGACAAATTATTAGGTACAGACAAGAGCTACTCACCAGTTCACCATCCAGCTCCTCAGAACAAAGCTTTGGGAGCCAGCACAGGCTTTTTCCTAGCCTCTACAGATACACAGAGCCAATTCTTAAGTTTAAAAGAACAGGAGGGGAAAAAAAGAAGGTCTGGCTTTAAGTTTTATGACTTCTTTTCTGACATTCTCTTGTATATGTGTAATAGAAAATACATTTTAAGTTAACTAGATTTTAGAATACAAGCTGCATCCTAGCTGGACCAAGATGGTGTAAGCACACTGCAAAAAGAAAAAAAAAGTAATCTATTACATGCAGGTTGGAACTAGATGATTTTTAAGGTTCCTTCCAATCCAAACCATTCTATGATTCTATGAAATATTCTGCACAGAAGGCAGCATCCTGCCTACTTTACATTTCTTGTTTATGTGTTATACAAACACAGTTTTCAAAAACAAACAAAAAAAAGCAACAAATACTGCTTGTTAGTTTTGCCATTTATGGTTGACATTTGTCAAACAGCTTCCTTAACAAGGAGCTGTAATATTTAAATTAAAATGAACTTAAATGCTAAGATAGTCCTTATTTTGTTTCCACATAAAATAAAAAAGTTCTTCTCGGTACACAGCCAAGCAAGATAAGGTTTACCTCAAAACCATCAGAACTTACAAAAGATGTGCAGAACAGATGATTTCTGCCTGCCAGCATCAGAAGTACCAAGCACTGGTCCCAGTCAGCTTTGTTCATCTCCTTCACCCTAATCACCACTGTCTTGCAGACTGTGCAGTCCGGCAGGCCCAGAGGGATCAGTGAAAAGGATACAGGTTTCTTCGTACACCTGCACAGTTGCCAAATCACCTTCCAGTCGGATAATCTCCCCCACCAGTTCACTGTGGCCTACTCGTACCAGCTCATACATAGCAGCACCTGCCATGTTGCATGCCGTGACCACTGTAGAAGACAGACACATACGTGAATATTTTTTCTGTAGCTCAGAAAACTTACTCATCAGAAGTTAGTAAATACTATGCAGATAAGCCTGGTATTCACCCAAATCAGAAGCACATTCTTGATTTCACAAAAGGGATAACCTGACTGCCACAAATCCTGACATTTCCAGTTTAAAAGCCAAAAGCTTCCCTGTACTTTTCACACTGTTATTTTACGCTCAGTAAGAGGACACTATCAGAATGCTGTAGTTCACAGACAATTCATACTGTAATTTCTCTTATCTATCTTGACAGATGGTGAATGTTTAGGGTTTTAGAGATGCAGTGAACTTTGACAGACATGTCACACAGGCACTTCTCCCTTTCAGTTAGCTGGGCCACATTCCCACGTGACTAAATTAAAAACGTACAAGAAAATGGCAAAAGCTCACCTGGTAGTTACACAAACTTGTGGTTTGGGACCAGCATTTTCAAGCCACTCAAATTTCAGTTTACTTTGGTAGCATCTGGATGCTAACCTGATAAACTATTTCCATGTATAGATCAAGCCAAGGCATCTGCTAAAGGCAATATATACCCTTGTATCTAGAGCAGCAGTTGCCTACAAAGCTTTTAAGGAAACACTATTTTGATGTTTTATTTTGTATAAAAGGGATGTATATCTGAGAGCACTTAAATTAACCTTCAGCAGATGAAGACTTTTACAGCACATTTAGGGCCTGAAACCTCCTACTGTTTCAAGCTAGATTTCAGCAGGTCATACAAGAGACTTAGCTGCTTTAAGACTAAATGTATCGTGTCTTTTACATTATAATATCATAGAATCCTAGAATAGTTTGGGTTGGAAGGGACCTTAAAGCCCATCTAGTTCCAACCCCCCTGCCATGGGCAGGGACACCCTCCACTAGACCAGGTTGCCAAAAGCCCCATCCAACCTGGCCTTGAACACTTCCAGGGATGGGGCATCCACAGCTTCTCTGGGCAACCTGTTCCAGTGCCTCACCACCCTCACAGGGAAGAATTTCTTTCTAACATCTAATCTAAATCGACCCTCCTTCAGCTTAAACCCATGACCCCTTGTCCTGTCACTACACTCCCTGATAAACAGTCCCTCTCCATCTTTCCTGTAGGCCCCTTCAGGTACTGGTAAGCCGCAATTAGATCTCCCCAGAGCCTTCTCTTCTCCAGGCTGAACAACCCCAACTCTCTCAGCCTGCCCTCATAGCAGAGGTGCTCCAGCCCTCTGATCACCTTCGTGGCCCTCCTCTGGACTCTCTCCAACAGCTCCATGTCTCTCCTGTACTGGGGACACCAGAGCTGGACACAGTACTCCAGGTGGGGTCTCACCAGAGCGGAGTAGAGGGGCAGAATCCCCTCCCTCAACCTGCTGGTCACACTGCTTTTGATGCAGCCCAGGATACAGTTGGCTTTCTGGGCTGCAAGTGCACACTGCTGGCTCATGTTGAGCTTCTCATCAATCAATACCCCCAATATCAATCTCACACATGGGGTTCATGTATTTACACCCAGAAAATTTCATTTTCCACTTCTTATGAAAGAAAGCTATAGAAGTTTAAAATTGTTTTTAAGTATTGCTTCTGCAGTTAAGGGATCGCCATGTAAAGAACAGGCATTTTTTTTAGGTAGACATGAGCCAAAGGAGTTTTGTATTCACCAGATAAGCTGCACTAACAAAAATACATGCTATTCTTCTGTTGTCACGTTCCCATCCTATCCTTCATCCCTTGAAAAGAATGCAGGAGAGAACAGAAAAGCCAGTACAGTCTGCACATATTCAAAGGCTGTTACCATCAGAGCCTAAAGAAACTATTTAAGCTGATAAAGAAGGTGGAAGAGTCCTCCTCCTCCTCCCAATTGCACTACCACCACACTCTGCCACCCTCCCTGCCCTTCTAGCTCCTTGCTGAGCTCCTCCAGCCCATGGTGCAGTAACACAGAACAGATTGACACTGGCAGAGGACTGAGTATTCCAGAGACCACATGGTCAAACTGCATTTCAGTGAGAATGGACTATGCATCTCACACCCTTTAAGAGAAGCTTAATACACTGGGCCTGCAGATTTCTGATCAAGTGGCTTTATCTCATCCAGAACTTTTACTACCTTTTGTTATTGTTGTTGTTATTAATCAGCCTGCTTCTGCTCATTACATCTTTAAATAAGATTTAAATTTAAATAATTATTTATTTAAATAAGCAGTAACATCTTGTTATTTCTTAATATTTTATCAGGGCAAGTCAGTGATCCTTCTTAAAAAGTCCCCCTCCAAAAAAGAAAGAGAATAAGCCCCACTCAGAGCTCGACTGTACTTCTCCACTTCTAAGTTCACTTCCAAGTGAAAAAGATTAGCAAGACACTAGCTGATACAGACCATATGATTTCCTTTACAAAATAATACCTACCAGGTCCCGAGACTCCATGGACATAGCCAACAAAAGCCTCTCTGTCTTCATCACGAATTTTGGGTAGCTTGGAGAAATCCATTTTGCCTGTTCAGCTGTAGAGAAAGGAAAAAAGAGTCACTTCTGAAGAACACACACATGTAATAAGTTCCTTCTCTTCCTCCCCTCTGCTCTCTTCTTGTTTCCAGTTTGAAAGAATTCTGAAATAAAGAATTCTGAACTCATATAGCCTGAAGCACCTTAACCACACTGATTTTAAAGCTATAAAAAGTTAAAAAGTAACTCATTTAAACAAAAGAACTAACATCCCCTGTTGTAGAAACACAGAGGTGGAACATCACTCCATAATACACTCCACAAAACACTGCTGAATGACACAGTTACGCTCCAAACATGCCATAACACCGCTGGACTAATTTCAATCCAAATAACAGGATAATTAAACAATGGAGAACCTCTTCTGCCTTCCACATCTCATCTACCCTCCCTCAAAACATGGAGTTTTCCATGATTCTGAGTGATTTGCAGGCTACTACTTGCAGACAGAACAAGAGAATGTTCTGGGGCTGCTTTACTGCCACCAGTCTCTAAAAGGCAATACTACAAATATTAACTGTGGAAATTCTATTTTTTAAATATCTCAAGCTGCTGAAGCAGAGTGTTCAGACGAAGAAACATACATTTACACAAGCACCAAACTCAAACTTGTGAGTTCTCTCTATATGCCCCACGGCTAGGTATTTTGCAGTTTTTGCTCTCAGTGAAACCCATGGAGCATTACAGAAGAATTGTGCTGAATAACGGCTAAAAAAAATCCAACTTGCAACAGTTATACACTGACATCTCTTGCCAGTACCTGTTCAGAGAATATAAACAATGGGCACAGGAAAAGCTGTTTTAGAAACAGACCTCCTTGATCCCCATTTGTCCTGTAATCGACAGTTGGTCTGTCCTGCTTCTGGTGCTGATAAGAGTATTTAATGGTTTTGCTTTGTCAGCCCATATCATGCTTTGTGTTACCTTGGAAACTGAACAGTGTTAGAGAACTGTAAGGCAAGTCTCTACCCATTTCTACTGTATTCACACATTTATGATACAGCGCTGGTGAAAGGTATAGTATGGCAGCCCCAGCATACAATGCCCTCTGCATACTAACACGGCCTATCCAGCAAAAGTCCATGTTTCAGTGATGTGAACTGTGCGAGGCATCTGTTGACGCTCAGAGTCCTTGCGAGAAGTTTAACCTAACCCAGCATGGTGTGCAAGGCAGCAAATATAGGCATATTCAGGCTTGAAAACCTGCCCCATGTACAATGAGGAAGACGACAACTATATTGCCAACCCTTTGGCCATCGTTATAGGATGCTTTTCTGCCTGTTTTTCAGGAGCAGTAGGTAGCTGACATTTGCTATTCTTAAAATCTTATGACTGTTTTCCAGCTTTCCAATACTATACTACAAATACTCCACCCCTCAGCCTCTTTGCCAATCTAAATGTTTTAAATTAGTGTTTCTGTTCTGTACGAAAAGGATCTCCCATGATTCCAAACTGCTATTCATCCTGAATGAATAGATTCTTCCAGGCTCCATGTCTCACTGGAGTGGATTGTGTAACATGGCTACCATTGACTCATTTCACAACAGCCACCCCAACAGTTGATCATGACTCAGTCACCACCAGCCTGGAGTGGAACTGCTAACTGCTCTCAAGCTCAAAGGCTAAGTCAGATACCTGTTAGATCCCTCTACTCTCCACAATGATAGTTTATCTTTTAAGCTGCCTGTTGTTTAGGCCCAGAAGCCAATTTTACTGCTTATTTCTCAAAAGTCTCCTCTGACAAATGGCAGAGGGGAGATCCTTGCAAAGCAATCTGCAGTTCCTGAGCAGCTGGTAAGAGCTGGTTCTGATCAGACTAACATAACTACCTCATCTTTTTTGCTTTTAACAATTAAAACATTGCAAAACTCAAGCACAATTATTGTTCATACTGAAAAAAGCAGCTGGTCTTATAAATCCACCCAAAACATTTACTTCAACAATCTCTAGAGTCCTACTACCAAAATCTGCTATAGAAGCACAAGAAAGAAAGAGCTAAACCAACTGAATTAATGACACTGTTTGGCAATTAGACAGTACAGGGTCCCACATGAAAGAGCCAATTTATGAAGGCAAGGAAAAGCAGGAAGAACACTGTCCAGTTTCAGTTTAAATTAACTTTTCTACATACCCAAAACCTGCAGGTCAGCTGATTGCTGCTTGAAGCAACTGTTTATCTTTCAGGGAGGCAAATAAGAACCCCCAAAACAGTCACTCTGCAGTTAAAATGGCAACGTACTGATGCCCAGCACCTGCTCCTCTTGTTCCTGTGGCTGCTCTGCTCCCTCTCTAATCCTACAACTATGTTCCCCACTTACTGGCCAAGCCAACTAAAAGAGAATGGGATTCCTCTGCTAGACCACCTTAGAGCACACTAATAAACCCTGTCTTCATCCTGATCCTTAGCATCTGCACCAACTGCTTTTAAAGAGATACCTATTAACTATTCCAAATGTAAAAGATGTGATGAATTCTTCCTCACCTTTCTTTGTTCCATCTCCTATACATTTCCAAACAAAGTACATACAGCCTAAAAAGCCACTGCTCACCCAGCCAAGCTGGCCTTTAAGGGGCTACACATCTTTTAACACTGAATACAAATTAAGAAAAAAAAAAAAAGAAAGAAAGAAAAAGCTGTTATCTCTGCATAGTTTTCTTGTGCTTGTGTATTAGCATTTTAGATGGAAAAATCCTTGAGGCCAGAAACACTGCCATACCTACCTACACTGTTAAACGTCTTCATTTTTAGTACTCGGATAAAAGGAAATTCCCTAACGCACGTCAGGATTTGTTAAACATAACATCAGGTGTGTGCAGGCAGTATGTACTTACCCCAGAAGCCATGGTAGCTAGCCATTAAGAAATCTACTGACTTCCTACAGCCTTTCATAGGCCTCTCGCCAACACAGGTTATTAGGAACTACATGCAATCCACTCCTACAAAAGTCCACTAGCACACCTACACAGGATGTTAGCTTAATTTTAATTCCCTTATGAGCAAAGATGCATCTTGTATCCTTTACAATGTATAATCAGGAGTCTTCCTCATCTTAAACAGTTCAACAATTGATTTTAAACATGGTTTTAAGCTCTAACATGGTCATACTCTGCCTAACAGTGCCAGAAATCAAAGTATTACTTGCTGCAGAACCGTCTCTGAATGAAAGGTGATTTATTAAAGTAATTTTATAGTTATAATTAAACAAGAAAGGGCCAATGACCTGAGTTTTCTATCTTGTTTTCTCCACAGCACAGCAATTTGGCTACAGAGTAGCCCCAAAAATGTAACTATCCTGCTCTGGATGCTAGAGAAACCTGTTTTCTATTATGGTTCCTTGTTTGTGCTTCAAACATTTGATCAGTCCCAGAATTCACAGGATGAACTGCCTTACCACAAACATCTCTTCAAAATTAAGACTCCAGTCAGATTTTTAGAAGGAGTCTTCTTACAGCAAGGAAGAAAATCCATGACTATTTTATCATATAAATACAGATTCTTACCTTATTTTGCAGAAACAGGGAGGAAAAAAAATCCACAGGCCCAATGAAGCAAAGCCAGAATTCAGCAGTTAAGCACTACCACTTACAAAATAATTGTCCTTCTAGTGCCCCTACACAGAGGGATGAGAAAGCCTGCTGCAGAGGGGGAAAGAAATTTCTGACACACAGCAGAGGCATAACCACCTGACTTGATGAGTCATCAGTCTCTCTCTCTCCCACCAGCACTGAGGAACAAAGCAAGCTACCTAGAGCCCAGCTGAACTCCCATCTGTGCTCTCCTTACTGCACAGGACCGAGCAGAAAAAATTAAAAGCAGCCTTCAGCATGCATATGAAGGACCTCCTACAAAGCCAATAATCCCAGCGTCCCAAGTGGTACACACTACTACATAAAAATCTGTGAAAGAGATGCATGCTTTCTGCTAGAATCCGTTTACCTACCAGTCCTCCACTGTAACATATCCATGTCAGTGCGTGCTCTGTACTGGAAGAGCTCAACAGAACAACCATTTAACAACAGACTGCACAGGGATGTGCTGATGAAGACACCGCAATACTAATTGCTTGGGTATGTAGAACAGGTATTGATTCTTGTCAAAATAGTCTTGTGAGGCTTACTTCTGCTTATTAAGAATCCCTTCCCCAAGTTAGAAGCATTGATGCAACTGAACAACATTCAACACCTTAGAGAAGCAGACTGATGTGCCACCTTGAGCAACAGCTGCTAGAATTGGTTGTCGAAGATCGACAGGCACTGACATTGTCCTGTATGTCATACATAAGACAAGCAACTATGTGGGTCCTCCCCCAAGAAGCCGCATGAGTTGAAGAGCTCCCTGCAGCCTCCACAACTTCTCAAGACTATCTTCACAACTTCTAGGATTAGCAACACATCAAATTGGCACAAAAGCTTAAACACACTAACCACAAGAAAAGCAAATCAGAAGCAGCAGCATTACATTAATAAGTCACCAGTGCTAGGATTCATTCAACCAGAGTAACTCTGAACTAAAGGCACAGATTTTACTATATTTGAAACAGACTAATGTGTTTTGACTTCCTAGGGTAGAAAAACAGAGTCAGAATATAAGCCCTTTCATTCAATATCAAGGAAAGCTTAATAGGCATGCACAGTAAAATGTAACCAAATAAAGTTTTCCAAAGAAAATCCCTCCTCCTCCTCTTGGTAAAAACCTAGACTTTACACGATAGCCAAGATCACAACCCATAATGGACAAGAAGCTTAGAATTGCATCTGAGTTTTACCTTAGAATCAAAACTGCCAACATTTACTGTGTTCACCTGAGCAGACTTTGGTACAACGCGTAAGTCCCACTGTCCAGCTGTATGAGGATGGGTTACAAAAGGATATCGTAAAGGTTATCATAAAGGATAATCACTGCAACAGATTTCCTACAACTTGGACAGTTTATACTTCCCCTTCGAACAGATGATATTTTTCAGAGGAAGTATTGAAAAAAAAAAGACAGCGCCTAAGTTTCTAGACAAATGCAGAAGTTACACAGCATTTCTGCAAATAGAATCTGAGATATTCTCCCAGAAGGAACAGCACACACAGCAGTCTTACAACAGTTCACTTGGAAAGGAAGTCAAATAGTATTCTCAGGAAATCTGCTCCTTTATACTACATAGAGTTATAATTTTACTGTAATACAGTAGGGAAAATTACACCAGATTTCTCAGCCACCAAACAACAGAATCGCTGAGGTTGGAAGGCACCTCTGGAGATCATCCAGTTCCACTCCTCTGCCCAGAGCAAGCTAGAGCAGGCTGCTCAGGGCCATGTCTAGCTGGGTTTTGATTACCTCCAAGGATCTCCACAACTCTGGGTAACCTGTTCCAATGTTCAGTCACCCTTGCAGTAAAATGTGTTTTCTTATGTTTAAAGGGAATTCCCTGTATTTCAGTTTGTGCCCAATGCTTCTTGCTATTTCAGCAGATACCACTGAGAAGAGTCTGGCTCCATTTTCTTTGCTCTCTCCCACTAGGCATTTATATACTTTACAATAAGATTCTCTGAGCCTTCTCTTCCCAAGGCTACATAATTCCAGCTCTCTTGGCTGCTTCTCATAGGAAAGATGCTCCAAACCCTTAACAGTCTGTGTGGCCCTTTTCTGGACCTACTCCATTAAGTCCACGTCTTCCTTCTACTGAAGAGCTCATAACCAGACACAGCACTCCAGATGTGGTTTGCCCAGAGCTTAATTGAGGGGAAAAAATCATCTCCCTCAACCTGCTGGCAGCATTCTTCCTAATGCAGCCCAGGACAGTACTGGCTCATGTTCAACTTGGTGTCCACCTGGACCTCTAGTCCTTTTCTACAAAAGCTAATTTACAGCATCAGTCCCCAGCCTGTAGCAGGGCACGTGGTTATTCCTCCCCAGGTGCAGGACTTGGCACTTCCCTTTGTCGAACTTCATGAGATTCCTATCAGCCTATTTTTCCAGTCTGTTGAGGTACCTTTGTACGGCAGCGCAGCCCTCTGCTATTAACACCTTCCAATTTTGAATAACCTGCATTTTGAAGAAATCAGGCAGGATTCTGGTTTCCTGTGCTCAACACAATGATGTGGCTTAGTCTTCTCTTCACACAGACATCGAGAAGCTAACTGTACCAACATTCTTGCCATAAGCTCCGAGCTAGAAGTATCATTTCTTAAACGCAACAACATGGACATTCTTCCATTTAATTATTCATACAATTCCAGTTGTCACAGGGCATTTTGTGGCCACCTCTGCTCTCGATAGGTCAGGAATCTGCTTAAGTGATGCTCAGCTATGTGCTATGGATCCACCTGCAACCATACAAGACAATTCATCTTTCATGGAACTTGTTTCCTAGGTACTATAAAGCCTCTCCCTCTCACGTGAGGCTTGCTACTCAGCACATGTACAGATAAATCCCGGTGTATTCAAGAAAAAAAGATAGGAAATAGAACTATGCTGCCACTGTCAGCACAGCACACAATGGCTACAAAGCGAGACTCTGCAACGTGGCAAGTCTGAAGCCCATCACAAGCTCCTACTGCCTTCTTCCTCAAAACAGATGGGGACTCACCTGTGGGTATGCTAATACATACAAGCCTGATACTTCAAGGAACCATCATGCCTTGCACACAAGCTAAACTTCTCTAAAATATATTTAATACATATATACAGCATAAGAGACTCTCCCCTACCATAAAGATGGGGTGTGAACTCTGTTCATGCAAGTACCACCACAAATTGCTGTTCAAGCACCCATGCTTTTATTCAGAAACTTGGGAGATTCCTTTAGTTAGCCCAGAACAGGACTAGAAAAAAGCTGTGTTTGAACATGACTGAGCAGTGATAAAACTGGATAGAAAGGCTGGCAAGGCATTCAGTGCATAACTGCTTTGACCCACTGAAGATTTGATCAGCTCAGTAGATAACCAATCTTCTGACTTCAAACACAGTTGTCACACTACATCTAGAATTGATAAAGATGCTAGTTTATCAATGAAAACACTCCTGTTAGTTAAGAAAAACCACATTGTTCGTATGAAAAAAATCTTTATCAGCTGACTGGTTATATGCCACAGTTTTCCACACTAATTCCTTCCTCTCAGCCGAGAGAGCTTCTCCACAGGAGCTCTAGAGGTGGAAATGGATGAGCCTCCCCTTATTTCTTGCTACACTGCTTCACAAGTTTCCTACTGCAAAATATTTGACATTCCCTTCAGCCTGCTACACATCCTGCCCCTCTTCTCTGGCTTGATAGACCTTCGCACAAAAGAAAGATCTAATGTAACTGAAATCCAAACCACAACACGGAAAACTAATAGCATATTCATTTCTGTGTTCCACAGTGGCCATCTTTTCTTATCCTGATCCTGTCATCTAGCTGCTAGGGCTGAAAAGTTCTGCAGCCATCTGCTTAGGGCAATGCTCAGTCATTTCCTCTAGACAAGCAGTATTTTAATTAACCTCACTAACGTTACTGCAAAGTTAAAGTCCACCCTTGCTTGCTTTTATTACATAAAAGTCACTCTACTTTTAGCTGTATTGGGTGTTGTTACTTGAAATTCTTCTTGTTGCTCTAACCTTTAAGAGGACAAACATCAAAATGAGATGAACACAAAGCTGTAAGCAGTTATAGCAGCAAACTTTACAACAGTTCAGTAGAGTCACTTCTGAATAGTTGAACGTTCTTACCTCAATAGACAAAAGGTGTGCAATTTCATAAAACAACTATTACTAGACTTGTAAGTTGGGCTTGGTTTTACACACAGAAACATATTAGTAATTCTGGCTCATTAAAACACATCGGCTCCTCTATAAGCCTCACCACTGCCTAACCTCTTGTCCCTAAAGGTAATAGATAAAATACTGAGCACAAGTTTGGAATAAGCATTTCATCATTACACTTAACTTTCAGAGCAGTCTTTAAAGTTGGGATATTATGGAATTTTCAGTTTATTATGTGAGGTATTTCAGAACTAGTTTGAAGAGCTGGACCAGGAGTAACTTTGCATTAAAGTCTTTGAGAAAGATCTAATACTCCTAGCAGATAGAAGTACTCTTTTACAGCACTTCAGTATAATGAAACACCTGGCTGGAATCACAACACACATATTGGCATTGGATTCCAGTAAAAGGAAATTAAGTTGACGTCGACTTTTCCTGTAATGGAAAACTTCATCTTTCTGTTTTAAAGCAAGTTAAGCCACATTTGGAGATTTTATGTTCAATTACCTGAAGTATTTACAGCTTCTTTAGAATAGCCAGAGCCCCTCAAACATACTAAATTTTAACACTGTTTAAACTAGATATTGTGGTGGTTGTCTGAATATCTACCAGGTGATCTATCTCATGATACCAAAATTTATCTCACAATAATGAAACCCTCAAGATTTCCAGGATCTAGAGGAAACTCACATAATAGAATTGCCTTTTTAGAACTCCTTACCAATGCATTTAGCCAGAAATACCATTTTAGTTTTTTCTGAAGAGCTGCTTTTTAAGGTATTACTTTCACAGTGAGAAACAAAATAATGATATAGTATAATAATGAGAAGGACCAACTGTTTGTCCCACTAACTGAACTTCTTGGAAGATG